GATGATCATTTTAGTTTACCTTCCTAGTTTTTCTTTGTTCTTACCTAGGAAATTATTATAGCTTGCGTTCTCAACATGAGAAAGCAGCCTTATATTTCCAGAGAGCCCTGAAGTTGAATCCTCGTTATCTTGGGGCCTGGACACTGATGGGACATGAGTATATGGAAATGAAGAACACATCTGCTGCTATCCAGGCTTACAGGTGAGCTTTCTGGATAGGCGAGGTGGAGCAGATCCCTGGGACACGAACAGCCTGTTAAGGATGCAAGTTGCTAATTCTAATAATGCTTTCCAAACCTGTCTCTTCATTTCTTAGACATGCTATTGAGGTCAACAAGAGGGATTATAGAGCATGGTATGGCCTTGGACAGACCTATGAGATCCTCAAGATGCCATTTTACTGCCTTTATTATTATAGACGGGCCCATCAGCTTCGGTATGTTTGGCCATGTGGCAGTGTGTGTGGCATGTGAAAGGCTCATTATTACTTGATAACTGACTACTGGACACCCATGTTTAAACTTGCTGTGTGTTGTTGGGTCATTTTTATTTAGTGTATTCTAATAGGTTTGGAGCCCTGATGGCCTAGTGGGTTATCTGTTGGTTTGCTAACCATAAGGTCATCAGTTTGAAACCACTTACCACTTCCTGGGAGGAAAGATGAACTTTCTATTCCTGTAAATAATTAGTTTCTGAAGCTCATGGGGGCAGTTCAACTCTGAGCTATAGGGTTGCTATGGATTAGAATCAAATCAGTGGCAGTGAGTGAGATTAATAGGTTAATAAGTTAGTAGTGTAATTGTGAGCAGTGATTACATGAAGCACTGGATGGTGGTGGAACTTAAGTTATCAATGAAGTCTTTACTGATGCTTAGACTTTTGTTCTTCTTTCAGGCCCAATGACTCTCGTATGCTGGTTGCTTTAGGAGAATGTTATGAGAAACTCAACCAACTAGTGGAAGCCAAAAAGGTACTTGAAACTGGTCTTGGATAAAGGTTGAAGTTTGTTTTTTTTCTTCATCCTGATCTATATGCACAGGAAAGTCTGCTGACTGTTCTTAGGTGCAAGGCCAGAAGCAAAGCTGGACTGAAATCATCAATGGAATTGCTGAATGTCAATAGCCTCGACTGATTAGCACTAGTAAAAATTGAACAGCTGCCCTTGGTTTCCTGCAAAGTTTGCAGGACCTGAACCTTTATGTCATGGCACATGGGGCAGTGGTCAAAGTGACCAGTTTATTTCTTTGACAGTGTTATTGGAGAGCTTACGCCGTGGGAGATGTGGAGAAAATGGCTCTGGTGAAACTGGCGAAGTGAGTGCAAGGAATGAAACGTTATTGATATCTGTTAGCTCCTCTGGTATGGTGGGTCTTCATACTCTAGAACCCTCCATCCATCATCCTATGTGAGTGTGGGGGGCATAGCAAGGTCTATTGAATCTTGATCTTAGAATGTACCATTTGAGCTTTGGCAATTGTCACTTCTTTTTGAAGGGGGGGATTTGCTTTCCTATTAGGCAAGAGATCAAGAATGAATTGAAATGAGACTTTAAAATCAATTTCCATCTCTGAGCATGCTACCAAAGTTACTTTAAGTAATGTTCAGCTCCTGAGAAGGCTGGGAAAATTAGGAATAACTCATAAACAGACAAAGAGGTGCAATTTATACCTGCCAGTTTTTTTCTGAATTCTTAGAAAAAAAATTCTTGGTACCTGTTTTATCTCATCCTGATGTTCTAACTCTCCTGCTATCACCTCACATTACATTACAGAGAAATGACTTTAAGCTTTAATGTAATCGTCACACCCAAGCGCACTAATACTGTTCTAGTTCCCTTTATGTGCCATATATCAATATTTCTAATTTTCTGTAATTATTTTTTGGTATTGTATTCCTTTTTTGCTAACTTGTGTTGAGTTTTCATTTGTAAAGGCCAATTTCTTTTGTAGGCTTCACGAACAATTGACTGAATCAGAACAGGCTGCCCAGTGTTACGTCAAATATATCCAGGATATTTATTCCTGTGGGGTACGTGTCAAGAACATGGGAATTGGGTGGCTGATCGTATTCTTATCCCCTTAGTTATTCTCTTCCTTATTTAGGAAATAGTGGAACACTTGGAGGAGAGCACTGCTTTCCGCTACCTAGCCCAGTACTATTTTAAGTGCAAGCTGTGGGATGAAGCTTCAGCCTGTGCTCAGAAATGTTGTGCATTCAATGATGTGAGTATCCATCTTTTTATGAAGGGTGTAGGTTTTAGGTTAGAACTTCTGATCTTTACCGTGGCCTGGTAATGACATGGATAGTTGGGTACGTGGAAAGGCTACCTTGATCATTGGGACTTTTTTTCTGCATTTAAACAACCTTGTGTTTGAGAATAGCTTTGCCTTACTTTGTTTCAGACCCGAGAAGAAGGTAAGGCCTTGCTTCGGCAAATCCTACAGCTTCGGAACCAAGGCGAGACTTCCACTACCGAGATGCCTGCTCCTTTTTACCTTCCTGCTTCACTGTCTGCCAACACCACGCCTACACGAAGAGTTTCTCCACTCAACCTATCTTCAGTCACACCATAGTTGGCTACTTTCAAGCCAACACATGGGCAGACCCAGATTAAGCCTTACCTCCAAACAAAGGCCATGCCTGTTCAGGGACTTCATCCACTCTGTTGTTTCCACAGATGGAAACATTTTTGGGGGAGTTGATAGAATTACCTCCAGAGGCTAACTGGCAAAATTCCCGGCTGGAATAGACAGTCAGTTAAAAGCACTCCTGTCTCCCTTTTGTTCAGTGTGGCTGTAGATCTTGGCCTTCTTCCAGACCCTTTCCCTCTGAAAAAGAAAAAACAGAACCAAACCCTCCCTGTACAGCACTTTAGTACTGGCAATGCTACGGGAACAGTTTTAATGCTGCTGGGAGCAGGATATTTCTTTAGAGGCAAGGTAGGTAAAAGGGAAGCCACTCTACCCTCTGCTGGTAGTAGGGATACTGAATGCCAGGGCACTGGATGGGCACAGCCTCCTTGGATTTGTCAAGCACGTTCCTTATTCTGTTGTCAGAGATTAGATTTAAATGGTGTGAAGTGATGTATTTGCTTTTACTCTAGGGAACTATTTTTTCAAAACAGTTTTGATGAGTGCTCCAGATTTCAAATTAGAAGTAATTTACTGAGTTGAATCAACAGGTAGAAGGTATCTCAGAGCATGGAACTGCTGATGGCTCTATAGGGCAAAAGCTGCCTCCCATTGCATTAGCTATACCCCAACCAAAGTAAAGCTGGGAGACAAGATTACATGGACATTTTAGGGGTTTTTGTGACTGTACAAACAATTCACTTCAAGCTAGTGTTTTAATAAACATTTTAAAATGTAATTCTGTTTTTTTTTTCCTTATCTCCAACAGAATGCTTTCTCAGCTTTCATCTGTCTGAGGTAATACTTGGAATGCTCTTAGAGGCTTTCAAATCTGTACTTTTATGTTCAGTAGGAGGTAATACATGATGACTATATAATGAATAAGCTTATACAGAGATGTTGTGTTATCATTTCAGGACCCAACTTTCCTTAAATCACATTCACCACTTGAAACGTCATTTTGTAGTCAGAAAGGTTTAGAAAATTGTACACCCCTTGAATTCATTCCTTACCAGAGTCTTAGGCAAGCTGTTACAAGACACTGCTGCCCTTCCTAAAGACATTTGATTCTCAAGTCATTCTGTCCTTATATTTTAGCAAGTTTTCAAAATTTGGAATTTGAATATAAAAGTGAGTATATTTTATTTAATATAAGTTTTTGTGTGCATAGAAACCACAAGTTCAAAACAAACAAGAAAAACAACATAACAATGAAATTACATATACGGATATATTACAAAACAGGAAAAAATACTAGTATTTCATCTTGGAGAGAGTTCTAGGTATATGGTAAAGCTTAAACTGGGTAGCTGACCCACCTCAGGACGACGACTATGCTCTCCTTCCCCCGCATAGCCTTAGTATTTTTTGCCAAAAGGCCCAGATTTGAGTAAAGGGGAACGTCGTGAGCGCAGAATTCGGGCATATGGGCTGCAGTCTGTTGAGCTTTGGCAGGTAGGTGTTCGAGGAAGTAAATTCCGAAGGAATGGTTTCTTCCCTGGGGGCTGCTGATTTGGTTGCTGGTTTTCCTGGTTGACACCAAGGCGCTTTTTGGTGGAAGAAGCCTGGCCTTGGAGTTTTAGCACAGTATGGTACTGCTCAGCGATGCATGCTGCCTTCTTCCGAAGGTCTAGTTTCACCAGCATCATGTTATTCTGCAGTTCAGCCAGGGTTTGGTCCTAAAGAAAATCAAGTGATAGGAAACACATTTCTATCTGGTATTTTAGAGAAACAAGAGGGCAAGATAACAACACGTCATTCGATATTATCAACAATTTAAGATTTTCTCAAATTGAAAAGGGGTGTTTTCTTTGACACCCAAACAGTGCTGAATAAACATTTTCTAACCCATATGGGTTATTTGAATAAGTGATTTAACCTCTAAGAATCTTAAGTTTAGATCTCAAAGGAAATGTTATGTTTAAGGTGTTTTTCACACCTCTGGAATCAGGATGTATGACCAGTTATCTTAGCATGATTTTTAATTTTTTTTTCACTTTAGTGATACATGAATGATATTCTAACAATCAGTGGTATCCTAAATCTATATTGTCTCCCTCTCTAGATAATTAGCACATTGCCTGTTGCTGTTAATTGTCATTGGGCTGGCTCCGATCCATGGTGACTACAGGCATAACACAATGAAACACTGCATGGTCCTATGCCATCCTCACATTTGTTCCTATCCCTAAACCCACTGTTGCAGCCACTGTGTTAATCTATCTTGTTGGGGGCTCTTGGTGCCCTTCCACTTTACCAAATATAATGTCCTCCTCCAGGGACGGTCTCTCCTGACATGTCAGAAGTATGTAAGAGAGTCTAGTCATTCATGCTGCTAAGGAGCACTCTGGCCATACCTCCAAGACAGATCAGCTTGTCCTTTCAGCAGTCCATAGTACTTTCAATATTCACCAGCACCACAATTCAAATGCATCAATTCTTTGGTCTTCCTTGGTCAATGCCAGCTTTCACATACATACGATGCAATGGAGAATTCCATGGTCTGGTCAGGTACACCTTCATTCTCAAACTAATATTCTTGTTCTTCAATACTCTTAAGTCTTGTGCAGCAGATTTACCAAATGCACTGTGTCATTTGGTCTCCTGACTGCTGCTTCAATGAGCATTTATTGATTGTGGATCCAATTAGACAAAATCCTTGACAACTTCAACTTTTTCTCCATTTATCATGATGTTACTTCTTGGTCCAGTTGTGAGGATTTGGGTCTTCCTTACATTGAGTAGTAATCCACAATGAAGGCTAGAATCCTTCATCTTCATCAGCAAGTGCTTCATGATCTTACTTTTAGCAAGCAAGGTTGTGTCATTTGCTTATCGCAGGTTCTTATCAAGCCTTCCTCCAATTCTTACATACAACTCTTCACGTAAGCCAGCTTCTCTGATGATTTGCTCAGCATACAGAGTGAGAGGGCACACCCGATATACACCTTTTCTGATTTTAAACCATGAAGTATTCCCGTTTGTACAACTGCCTCTTGATCCATGTACAAGTTCCAAATGAGCACAATGAAGTGTTTGGAATTCCCATTCTCAAAGTTATACACAGTTTACTATGGCCCACACAGTCAAATGCCTTTGAATAGCCAATAAACCACAAGTAAACATCTTTCTGGCATTCTGTGCTTTGAGCCATCTGACATCAGCTATGATATTTTTGTTCCATGTCCTCTTCTAAATCCAGCCTGAACTTCCGGCAGTTTCCTGTCAATGAACTGCTGCAATCACTATTGGATGATCTTAAGTACAGTGCGTGGTACTTATAAAATAGGAATCTTATTTTTATTTTGAAGGGAGATAAAATCCCCTCATTATGAGATAAGTCAAAGTGTTTACATTGCTCTTTCCCTCATTCCCTTTCTCAAATACACACTGGAGTGGGCTGGGTGGGGAAGGAAGAGGTAGACAGACTGCCCTCACCTGTTTGATTAAGATGTCATCGCAGGTGGTCAAGGCTTGGCGAAGTTTTCCTGCCCCAGTGCTGTGGCAACAAGCTCGCTCTGCCGACTGGAGAGACTCTCCAAGTTTCTGAAGCTCTGTCCGCAGCAGCCTTACATTCTAGAAAGGAGACAGGAATCAGATTGTGGCCAGCCAGTATCAGATAGGATAATGGTCTGGTGGGACTGGAGAGCCATTAAAAAGAAGTGAAGTTAGAAAGGCTAGTTAGCTGACAAGGAGATAGTCCCTCCCCAACACCAGACAAAAATATCTTGCCCTCACACAAGCCAAGGAAAAGCAGTACAGTGAACCCTCGCCACTTCACGTTTCGACTTCCACGGCTTCACTCTATCGCGGTTTTTGCGTAACAGCGCATGCTCTGTCATTACTGCCACTGATTGGCTCATACTGTACACGCTTGATGCCATAAATAATATAATAAATGATAATTGTAACGTCCAAAATGTTTTACTGTATTTTCCCTTTTTCGTTTAATAAATTGGGTAATACGAGTGTAATGGTGACTAAAGGGTGTTTTTTCATGTCCTCTATGCTCTAACTACAAAAATATTTGATTTACAAATAAGGAATCCTACTTCGCGGAATTTCATTTATCACGGTAGGGTCTAGAATCGATTAACCGCGATAAACGAGGGTTCACTGTATTGTAAACGTATAATTAGTATCGTTGGAAAAAAGCTTCAATAAGTTTGTGAGAGAAGGCCACCACCCCTCCCCTCCCCGTGTATATAAAAACATTGAATTGGCAAAATGTGTTATACCTAAGTTTTAAAAGAAATAGACTGTTAGGTGTAATAGGAAAAATTGGGGGAGGGGCGGGAAGGGGGGTGCGGAATGGTGGTGGGAAGAATTAGAAATTGCCCTAAGAGCTTTGGTAACCTACAGAAAGGTAAGTAAGTACCTTTTGGCCCTCTTCTAACTTCTTGTCCACATCAGTAGTGAAAGGCTTGGCAGAAGGTGGAGGTTCCAACATCTTCTGATACTTTTGCAGCTCTGAGGGAAGAGAACAAAAATCTTAAATTATAGGCTTCTATGCTTAGACTTACCCCCTTAATTTGTGGTTAACAGCAGCCTATAGAAACCAGAAAAGGTGCGGTTACATGCATCCTAAAGTGAGGTCAGAGGGATGCAGCTTCAAGTGGAGTAAATGTTGGCTTGGAGTTAGAAGGCCCAGATTGGAAGATTAGCTCTTTCCTTTGCCAGTTCTGATTGAACAAATTATTTACTACCTAGCTTTCAAGGAAGTCCACAACTTACAATGGGATTCTATTCTGATTTTTCTGTCCTGTTGCTTCCAACTTAAGTTGAATACCTTATTTTGAAACATCTCATTATCTTTTAGTATCAGTATCTTTATAAATCTGATTGTTGTCTTTGGGGTTGAAATAAACTTAAAAGATACATTCTATGTACAAATGTGCTTTGCACAATTGATATATGTATAGACTGTGATGAGTTGTATCAGCCCCTAATAAAATTTTTTTAAAAAAAGATACATTCTAACGTATATATTACTAGTGATAAGATGTTAAAAAAATACGTCGTGGTTCGATGTGACTTATGTCTCAGTTGGAGACTATCTTAAAATGTGACTAAAATCAAGAACAGTTTCTAGGATAAAAGTGGTCTATATCTTGACCTACGTGGTGTATTGAGCTATTCAAGATTTATCATGTATTATTTCAATAGGGAGGGGGCAAGGAGAGCTATACTTATCCTACAGAATAATTACTCTGAAGATAAATTAAAACAAAACATGTACAGATTATTCTAAATGTAAACCTATAAAATGCTAATCCAGAATTTCCACCTGAATTACCGTTATACTTTTCTGCCTTTGCTTTCCTCACCTTCAGTGGTAGAGCTCAGCTCTGCTTTGCATTGCTCTAATTTAGCTTTAACCTCCTGAAGTTGCTGGGTGTAGTTAGCTGCCAACCGATGTGACTGCCGTAGGGATGATTTAGACCCTTGTGGCTGCTGTCTGGCTTCCTTTAACAGGGCTTCTAGTTCTTCAACTTTTTCATCTCGCTCCTAAGTGGGAAGCAGAGAGCATAATTCCATCCAGAGTCAGAAAAATGCAGAAGGACCAGATGACAGAAGAGATGACTAATGGCCAGGCTTGAAAGCCCATTACCACTTATCCTATTTCTTAGCAAACTATCCCCGTAAGCCATCACACAAGGATTGAACACAGACACAGCACTACAGGGGAAACAGATGTCATCTGTTTCTGCTCCCATCAGAGTTTAGCAAGGCTTCTTGACCTCAGGCAAGCTAGTGATGGGACTCCGAGTGGCTAGTTGGAAGATGGTTCAGGGAAACTCACCTGAAGCTCTTCTTGGTAAAAACTCGTCAATGACTCTTTGAGAATCTTTAGTTTCTCTTCATACATTTCCTCCAACAGTTCCTTCTGGATGTCCAGATGCTCACTGTTGGGAACAGGAAAAAAAGTGAATGAAGAACCTGAGCTTAGGGACAAATCTCGAGGTCCAGCTCCTGCCCAGTCCCCACCCTCTGGTCCAGAAGGCAGAGCAAGCACAGTTACTCGGTGGTACCTGCACCACTGTTCCCGTTGTTGCATCTGCTCTACCATCTCATTGCAAATTTCATCCCGGAGCTGCATCTCTAGCTGCAACTTTTCTTGCCGTTCTTTCAAAAGCAGTGCTTTCATGGCTTCTACCACCTGTAGGAGTTCCTAAAGAGACACACAGGACAGAGGTTGGTAAATGCCCATGTTCCAAAAAGAAAGGCCCATTTGGAAGGCAGCACAGAAACCTTGTAGCCATCAAACTGCTGCACCAAAGCCTTCTTGCCATTCTCACCTCCTTGCCATACATGGAGATGTCCGTTTCATTTTCTCTGTCATCATCAAGGCCTGGGTCCAGTTTAGCCCCTGCCTCTAAGATGGGAGATGCCCGCAGACTGTTGTGTTCCTTGATGAATGAATGCAGGGATGGTAATCCCAGTTGTACCGGTGGGGCATGCACAAGCTAGGAAGAGAAACATTTAAATGAAATCAACTAGTCCCTAGTGATGTCTTGAAACCAAGATATCAACCCAAAGTGAATACTACCATCATACCTACAGCTTCTCACCTGGCTAGCAATAGCTGAAAACTTGGCCACATGAAGGGTCTCGTCATAGGTAGATGCACAGGGATTCACGTTGACAATCATACAGGAGCGGCCTCGGCCTGTAAAGAAGCCTTGGAACACTCGAGTCAACTTGCTGTCACGGAAAGGAACCAGGTTCTGCTTTGACCTGACAAGAGAATCAGAGAATAGATCTGTGAGGAGGATTGTAGCCTTTGGGGTATCCCAGCACTGTCCTCAGTGGTGAGCAGGAAGTCTCTCAGCAAACCATAGGGACCCACGGCAGCCCAACCCAGGGCTCACCGGTTCTGCTGGTTTTGGCGCAGGGCAGCAATACAGCGGCCGAGAGTGTGCAGAGAAGTGTTAATGTTTCCTGCTTCCTTTAGCCGCTCACCACTCTTCTGATCTTTGCAGCGCTCTGAACCCGCCAGATCACAGAGTGACAACCTAGAATGATAGACAGGACCTGTCTGACATAAGGACCCTATACAAAGGGACTTCAAAAATGGAATAATGGGATTAAAAGATAACAGAATTTTCACAAAAACATTTTGAAGACTCATCCTATGTTATGAGTCTTCCAACCCTTCATATAGAGGGGAGGGCCACCAAAATTCCCTGTATCCAAGAAAGAAGAGCAGACAGGCTCTACCACAAGTAATTCCTCGGAAGGCCTCCCTTACACACTATTTTAGGTCCAAGAAGCCCAAGTTCTAAATAGTCAGACTTACTCGCTGATCTTAGGGATTATATCTCCTTCCCCCTGAAGGTGCAGGATTCGGATGGAGAAGATGCTATGACTGAAAGAAAAGGAGAAACATTATACGATGCCATCCTGGGACAAATTGAAGTGTTCACTTTAACAACCCACTCACCTGCGACTAGAGTTCTGGTTCAGGTGGGTGCTGGCAAAGCTCTGGTTCTTACGACCCACTTTTAGGAGTTTCCAGGCCTCCTCCGCATCCTGAACATGAATCCAATTGAGATCTGAAGCCAAAGGAGAGAAATGCACACCGGGAAGCACCCACCTCTTTCCCCGAGTGTCCCCTTCTCTACAGTTCATGCCAACATCCCCACTTTCCCATACCTTTCACATAGGGATTGCCATTCTGATCCTCACATAGCCGCAGAGTCTGCCTCTTGCGCTGCTGGCTAGGTGGTTCTAATAGGTCATAGATCAACTCATTATAGATCTCAAAAAAGGATATCCAGATGGAGAAGCGGATGTCTGCAGGGACACTTACTGGGGCAGTGTCTGGCTGTGCCCATCGGTGACTTGTTTCTAAGGAAGAAGCCAATGTACAGAGCATCAGCCCCAGAACAGTTCATCTCCATTTTAGCCTGGGGTTCCGTGGAAGACGGAACTAGAGCTGCAGCCTGTGGTCTGTGTACATGCGCGCATACACGCGCGCGCGTGCCCACACCCCCCCCACCCCACCCTGGATCCTATTCCTTGGCAGAGAACCCAGTTATAGTACATACCATCCAACTGGCTACTGCTGGTAAACTGACTGGTAGAGGATAACCCAGCAATACCACTATCAAAGCTGGTGCTGGTACCCATCCGACTTTCAATGCAGACACTTCTCTTCAAGGAGCTGGAAAGCTCCTCCTGGGAGACCCAAGGAAAAAAGGTAAGTACAGAACTTTCCATAACTCTGAATCAGCTCCCCTCCTCCACCCCCATCCCCACCCCAAGGACACCAACACTTCACCTCATGCAGGCCTCCATTTAGCAGGGCCAGCTTCTTCATTTCTTCCTGCCGGATCTGCTTGCTGTCCAGCCAGATCACCTCATTGGAAAGCAAGGGCTTCAGATCAGGTGTTGGCTGAAGCTGGCCTTGGAGGCTTTTAAAGATCAGAGCTAGGGACCGGGGTAGGATCCCTCCATCTTTGATAGTACCTGGAGATATGTAGCAGACGGTTAGCTAAGGCAAGGGCCTTTCTCCCTCTAACTCATTATCAGAGGCAAAGAGAGTACCATCAGGCCAATCAATGCTCCTGTAAGGCTTTAACTGCTTACCTTGAATTGTGTGGGTTTTCCCTGAGTTGGTAACTCCGTATGTATAGATGAGCCAGTTCTGTCCTTTGAGTACGTCTTTCACCATCTCCTTCACGGTCAGGTTGAAGAAGGATGCCTGTCCTACTTCTGGCCCAAAGATCTAAAGAAAGAACCTGTTCTTCAAGGACCCATCCTTCATCTCTCATTCACCTGTGCTGAGCAAGCAGATTCTTCCTGCACTACTACCAGCTGCTCCCTAAATCCTGAAGATTCACTTACTCTCTGCTAGCCTAAATTAACAAAATATTTCTGAAATGTTAACCACGAAGCTCAATGCTGCACACACAACGTTGGGGCAGTATATCAAGGCCATATGGGTGGCACTTTGGGGATGGATAGATTTGGATCCAAGCCCTATGCTCTTATCAGTAATGGTAACATTATTTATTTTTACTGTGTCATAATATCTTAGGAAAACAGAGACAATAATAGAGCTATGGTGAGTTAAAGCACTTATAGTGCTTGACAAAGTAGCATATATAGCAGGACACCCCCCCACCCCCCTGAATTAAAAGGGTGTAGGGTATGTGTATACACAATCATTGAGAGAAAGGTGTTCTTCCCAGAGAGTGAACAAAATTGCTTCTCCATGTGGGTCACAGACTCCATACCTGAGAAAAGGTGAATCTGTGAGTAGCTTGACCAATTCCTCGCTCATTGCTCTTCAAGGCAAAAGAATCCTTGGGTGCTTGTAGAATAAGAGTCTCCATATTCTCGATGTGGACACAACCCTGAGAAAGGAGGTGGAGGGTGTGGAGAGGAGGAGGAACAGTTGTCACAAAAGAAAACATTTCTGAGAAACATTTCTGTAATGCATCATGCCATCTTGAACCCTGCCCTCAGACACTCACCTGATCCTCCTGTCGCTCCAACTCAGAAGGTAACAAGGGTCTGATTCTCAGGTATACTTTCACCTTCTCTGTATTATCCTCAGATAGAACCTGTGGTAGAATTCCATCCCAGAACCACATATTAAAATCAGCAATTACTTCTAAGCAGATGGACAAACATAGCCTAGGTCTAGGAATCCTACCAGCACTATCCCAATTCTACCCCAAATTACGGACTTCTTCATTAGTTTTCACCTTTCCCTGACTCGTCAGGATCTTGCTTGCCCGGCGCCACATCAATTATTCGAGTCAGAATTGGTTGACTGCAGTTTTTGTGGAGACAAAATGTGATCATGTCTCTGGTTTTGAACATACTATGTAGTACATTAGTTCTCAACGAAGGTCATCCACACACACACCCCACCCCCCCACCCCCGGTCCTCCTGCCCTGGAGAACTTATAGCAGCTCCGAGTCTAGAAACATCGCTGGCTATCACAACTCCCTTTACCTGCTGCTTATCCTCCAGGGAAGTGGAGACGGCAGAGCAGTCTGAAAGCAAGTCCTTTCGTATCACAGACCCCAAGTCTGCAGCTGTGGACTCAAACATGGGGGAGACTGCGACCTCCTCATCGGACAACAAGCCCACTGGCGGAGAAAGGATTCCTTGAGACATGACAGCAAGTGCCGTTTCAGTCTAAAAAGAGACAAGAGTGGGTGGGGAAGAGGGACGTAGAGACCTACAAATTTCTAGGTAAGAAACAATCCCTTGCCCCTGACGCCTGAATTCCCAGGGAACCGAGATGAGTTACTTCCTTAACAGTCTGCGGCGGTTATTTTCGACCTCGAATTAAGATCGCACGGTGCCTCGCCCTGCGGTGCTGTACAAGGTCAGCGGAAGGCAGTTAGGTGGCTTTTCCAAACTGACCCCCAAGGCCCAACGTGAATGCAGAAGTATTGAGGGCGAAAAAAAAGAAAAAGGAAGGACACAGAGATGGCAGTAGCTTTGCTCCTTGAAAACTCACCGTTCCTGGAAGACAAGAGCTGTAACTCGGGTTTCAGCCCAGCCGCAGCCTCACCCTGAGCGCCGACCCCGCCGGTACTGGCTCCCTGCCCTCAGCCGCCGAACTCCGGCGCGGGTCCGCGAGGGGCACAACTCCGCCCACGAGGCCCAGCTTTGTTAGGGATACAATGTTTTAAATTACGCGCTGCGTTCGCGTGGCCAATCAAATAATGTCGCTTGCAGTGACCAATCACCACCAGGGAAGGGGGAGGGCAAGACCAAAGGACCGTTTGCTTCGGCGTGACCCCCGCTTTTACGCGTTTCCGGGTTACCAACTGCCGCGAATTTGGAATTGGATCCTTGTTCGCTTAACTCTTTTATCGAGCTCCAGACTTGTCTTTCGTAAGAAGCCTCAACTGGGAACCGTGAGGATACAGTCACCATCTCCTGTCTTTCCTTCTTCACAACGCTTCTTCCAAAGTGGTTTGGTATGCTCGCTGCGCCCGATGAAAGGACTACATTTCCCAGGAGGCGCCGCGAGCGACACGCGTACTCGATTTCCCAGAATGCCCCACGGTTTGGCTGCGCCGGCGTCTCTCTGCAGTTGGGGCTTCAGAGACTTCGGGGCTAAGATGGCGGCAGGAACGGGCAGTGAGTGTTTGTGCGTCTTGTGTGTGGAGGCCTTGGTAGAAGGCTCTAGATTTCTGGCACGCAGTGGGAGAGTGGGAGGGTGCGTTTGCCTGGGAGCTTAGGGTCACCAGAGACCTGCCCTATACGGCGTCGTGAAGGCCAATGGTGGGGGACCCCGAAGGGGAGGGTTTTGTCTCTGGTCCAGAGCGTGTGGAGGTTCCGTGAGAGAGTAGATAGAGGCCCTTAGAGAAACCCGGGCGTGCAAACAGACGTTGTGTGCTCTCTGGCTTGGCTGCCATTTCAAAAGGCCGTTCCGTTTCGGAGGAACGTTGGGGAGGCATTGGAAAGGGAGTCTTGGTGCGTTTCGCGCACCTGGGCCATTTCCCTCGTTAGTCATGAGTAGAAAGAAGAAAAGATCGTGTAGGTCCTATAATTCAGGGGAGGCCTAAGGGAAGTAAACAAGTTTATGCTAAAAAGGAGGCGGAGCAGCAGAGTGCTGTCCCTGGGAATCCCTTGTTTGCAAATGGGAAGAAAATGGGTAAAGTAGGACCTTTCAGGAGAACGGCTTAATCTAACTTTAATGCATACACTGGCATTTTTACATATTTTAAAGAAGACGGAGATTGAAGCATTGCCATTTGAGGGAAACAAATGTTCTTTTAAATTAAAACAACAACAATAAAAAACATTGCTGTTGAATAGATCGGACACAATGACTCTGTAGGACAGAGTATAACTGGACTGTCGAGTTTCTGACGCTAATCTTTCTGGAAGCAGATTGCTACATCTTTTTCTTCTGCAGATCTACCTGACCCTTCCGTTAACAACCAGGTGCTTTAACCACTGGGCTCTTTCTGTTGCATACACAGTGCAGTTCCCATCACATGGGAACTTACCATAGTGATGATATTTCAATCATTGGAAGGGTGAATATAAAAATTTGGTGACACCTACTGCTGTTCAATAGATTTCCCACTATCTAGGATAGAGTAGAACTGCCCCATACCGTTTCTAAGACTATAATCTCTCTAGAAGCTGACTGCCTCATGCTTTTCCTGTGGAACTGTGGTGGGTTCAAGCCTTAAACCTTTAGTTTACAGACATGTGCTTATCCACGGGCCACCATAATCGCCTGTTTTGCCACAATACTTTGGGATGTTCTGTATTACACCTTTAATTCTATCCCTTTGGTATTTAGAACTAGTATAAGTGGGTACTCCCCAAAAAAACAGGAAAAAAGCTCTACTGGGTGGAGCTTTCTTAGTACATCTTTTTGCCCCCCGGCTAGGAAATAGCTCTGTGTTAAGTGTACCCAGTGGTGTTGCCTGGGAAGGTTCTCTCTGGTCAGAGTGAATTTTTTTGTAAAAGCAGTTTCACCGGAACCTGGTTATTTGTGATGGCTGATTTAAGAGAACAGTGCATGGCTGTGAAATTTTGGTTCCTGCATGGGAAAAGTGCCACAGTAACTTGTGATGTTGAACACAACTCACAAGGACAGTGCTATGGGAAAAGCTCAAGTGTTCAAGTGGTTTTCTTGTTTGAAAAATGGAGAAATGTTGATTGATGACAAACTCCCTTCTGGACCCCCATGAACTTCCCAAATGGACAAAAATTCATGCACTTGTGTTCAAAGAAAGACCGAGGTGACAAACCATTGAAGAGATGAGTTATCTGGACTATCTTGGAGCAGCTCGGTTCAGCAAATTTTAACGGAAGATTTTTTTTTTTTTAATTAGCGGAATATTTGTGAATGAGAAGGGTTGTTGTGAAATTTTTGCCTCAGGTTCTCACTGAGCAGGAAAAAGCTGTATACAGGAAACACGCTGTGATTTGAAAGAACAGCTCAGAAGCAGCTCAGACTTTTTCCCAAAGTCATTACTGGTGACGAGACATGGTGCTATTTTTCGACCCCAAAACCAAACATCATTCAAGCCAGTGGAAGACGCATGCCATCTTCACCTCCCCCCGCAAAAGTTCATCTAATGAAATCAGATCAAGACGATGCTTATTTGTTTTTTTGATCTGAGAGGGATAGTGCATTTGGAGTTTGTTCCACCAGGTCAGACCGTTGTTAATCAAGCTTTCTATTTAGAGGTTCTGAAAAGATTGCATAACTGTGTGACAAATAAGGTTTGATTTGTGGCCTATGGCAGATGGGGGACTGGTTTTGCCACATGACAATGCACCTGCTCACACAGCCATCACAGTGCACCAGTTTTTGGCAAAAAACAGCATGCCTCCCTTGCCCCACAGACATGAAAGGACAACGATTTGAGGAAGTAGAAGAGGTGAAGAAAAAACCAGGGAGGTGCTGTCAGCCTCCAAACAGATGAGTTTGAAAAATGTTTCCAAGAGTGGAATTGCAGATTTGACAAATGTATTAAGTGTAATGGAGAATACTTTGAGAGTGATGACATTCTTTTGTAAAAAAAAATTATAGCTTTGAAAGAAAATTCCAGGGGTTTTTTGATACCCCCTCATATATATACATACACACATATATACACACACTTTCTCTGTATACCCACGAGGGTTATTCAAAAAGTGTAGAAAAACTTTCATTGTTTTAATTCTACGATAAGGTTTTTAAAAAAAATTTAAATGCATAACTTTGGGGGAAATTTCGTGGGGGGGGTTGGTGTACCCCCTCATACGTGTGGTTTTCTGTAAGCCGACTCTCCTTTCAGAACACAAGCTACTAAGTACTGGTCCTACAGAACCATGGTCCATTCGAGAGAAGCTGTGTTTGGCATCTTCGGTTATGAGGAGTGGAGATCAAAATTGGTAAGGTATCTAACATGTATGCTTCTTAGGTCTTAGAAATCATAGGCTATGTTTTCATGCTGGTAGATTCATAATAATTAAGCATCTTAGCCTTTAAGCAACATTTTTCCTTTTAAAAATTATTGTGATGAAATTCATAATTTATATACAATGTGAAATTATTTTTAGTAAAATCACAGAATTGTACAAATATCACTACAATCTAATGTCAGAACATTTTCATCACTCTGAAAAGAAACCCTTTACCGTCATCTCATCTTTCCCCTTCCCCTTCCCTAGAAAAGTTCTAATCCCGTTTATCGCCATGGCTGTGCCTGTTCTGGACTTCTCATAAGTGAAATTATTTAGTCGTTGGGAGTTTTGTGGTTGCTGTTTTTGCTTGTATAATACTTTCCAGATTTACCCTTGTGGCATGTATTGATGCTTCATTCCTATTTATGGCTATATAACTTTCTGTTGTAAGGATATACAACATTTTTTGTTTAGCCATTTATCAGTTAGTTGATAGATTATTGGGTTCGCATCTTTGGTTATTTCAAATAGTGTTGCTGTGAATATTCTGTACAAGTTTTTTGTGCAAATGTTTTCAATCTTCATGACTAAGAAGTTGAAAGTTGGGCTTATGTTAACTTTTTAACTTTTAAAGCCACTGTCAAACTATTTTCCAAAGGGACTGTACCATTTTATGTTCCCTTCAGCAATATATGAGGGTTCCATTTTCACTATATCCTTGCTAACATTTATGAATGTCGTTGAGATTACATTGTTTTAGGTACTTTTGAGTTAGTTTCAACTCTTGGCAACCCCATGCACAGCAGAAGGAAACACTGCCCAATCCTGTGACTCGCTCACAGTCTGTCCTGTGTTTGAGCCTATTCTAACAGCCTCGTTATCATTCCATCTCATCGTGTCTTCCTTTTATTCTCTGTTCGCCTTTACCAAGCATGGTGTCCTTTTCCAGGGGCTGATCTGATAACGTGTCAATAGAAAGTGAGACAAAGTCTCACCATCCTTGCTTCTAAGGAGTGTTTTAATAGCTTAACTGATTCTTCTGGCGGCCTGTCATATAGGTAATGATCACCAGTGCCATGATTCAGAGGCATCGATTCTTCAGCCTACCTTTTTCATTGTCCAGCATTCACATGCATATGAAGCAATGGAGAATACGATGGTTTGGGTCATGGATACCTCACTCTTTACAAAGTGATATCTTTAAAGCGATTTTTTTTGCAATGTATTTTACCCAATATAGTGCACAATATGTCATTTGAGTTATTTACTGCTGCTTCTGTAGATTTTGATTGTGGATCTAAGTTAAATGAAATCTGTGACTTTAGTCTTCATTTACCATGATGTTGCTTCTCCATCCAGTTGGGAAGATTTTTGTTTTATGTTGAAGTATGATCCATTGATCTTCATTGATAAATGGTTTGCGTCCTGGCTTTCCACAAGTAAAGTTGAATCATCTGTGTCTGGCAGGCTGTTCCTTAGACTTCCTCCAACCCTGATAATATATTCTTCACATGTAGTCCTGCTTCTCGGGTTTATGTGCTCAACATTCAGATTGAATAAGTATGATGAAAGAATACAGCCTTAGCACATACTTTTTTTGTTTTGTTTTTAACACATAGGGCACCTTTATTTGAGTTACTTTAACATCAAAATCAGACAAGAGATCCCAGGAAGGATCAGTGAACTTTAAACTCTTTAAGCAGATCATGAAAGTAAAACCAAGAGAAAGAAAGTAACACATTTAAGTTATGTAGTCAATCAGTCTTTTAAGTTGGGTCACCTGGCTTCTTATTACCATGCCTGGAAGACAGTTTCGGAGTTACATCTTACCCAGATGGGTCACTCACTAAAGCATGCACCAAGGACCATCCTTTGTTGTCTGTTCCTGGCCGTTCAATTGATGGTGATGATGATGAGGCATATTGAGCAATTATGGACCAGGCACTGTTCTTTGTGCTTTCCACGAATTAGCCCATCTAATCCTCACAGCTCTTTATAAGGGAGCTGCTGTTTCCATTCCCTTTTTTTCTCTCGATGTGACAAGAGAAGTTAGGTAACCTGTGCAAGGTCACCATCTTGGGAGGGTTGAGCAAGGGTGTGAACTCCGGCAGTCCATCTCTACAGTGCAGGCTCTGAGTGCAATAAAGATAAAAAAGGAACAACTGTTCCCTGCCCCCCACGCACTCCAAGTGTGAAATTGTGAGCAGCGGCCTCAACAAACTAACTTACGCCTTTCATCTCCTGAATGAACTTGGTGCAAAGGAAGGAACCAGATGAAGGAGAAAAGTCCAGGCCATGAATAACCTCTAACTTGGATGACCTGCCTCCAAGAAATCCAAGTGGAAGATTGAAACCTCTGTGTCTGTCATACACCAGTGCCAGAATCCAGCACTGGACTTGGAAGTTGTCCCCCTGAGGGGACTCCTGTTCTGGGGCCCCTAAGGCCCAATAACAGGTACTGTTAGGAGGCCGGATGTCCTAATCACGTGGCACGTATGTACAAAGGGCTACCATTCTGGCCAGGACAGGCCTCCAATAGACAGATTCCCAATATTATCTTCCAGTTGCTAGACAACACTGGTTCCAGTACATTATTTGGGTTATAAAAACTGAAGTTTTTATAAGTAAGTAAGTAAAGCATGTTAACACATCATTTCAACCACATCAAGTCAATTGTTAAATTGACTTCTGATTAAATTGGCAAGAAACAGTCGTGAACTCACTCTGATCGACATCTTTATCTTTAGCGTTTCTCCGGCCAAATCCCATTGAGAGCTTCATGATGATGGAAACATCCATGCTATTTCCACTCAACGAGTGTTAGGCCTGCTGGTATCTGATTCAATGTTTACTTCGGGAATGAGGTCAGTTCCCAGCACAGCTGGGAGTTTTGCAAAGCAGTCAGAGCTTCTGGTCAGCAGCAAGGTTCCCACCAGAATCTGACCAGAGTCCTCAGGACTCCCAGGATGCCATTCTGACAGGTTAGCCTGGGTTCACCCAAGTTAACCACTCTCTCTGGCATATTCTGGGGCCTGGTTCTCCTCACAGCTCCAATCTGCTTTCCTGGAGAAGCCAAGCGAGCCTGGCCGTGGCCACAGCCTGATGGACCAAGCTTCTCATGGCCCGGAAGTTTTGTCGTCCTCCAACCTGCCCCTGTGGTATTGCAACATCTCACTCCTGGATCTCGCCACGGCAAGCTCCAGAATTGCCAGGAAACAGGGCCGGGTGTTGTTGCGCCTCAGTGATCTATTCCAGCATGGCTCTACTTGTGATAGGCGAACATCTCAGTCACTTGGCTGCTACTCCCAAAGGTAATGGAGCCCACAGGCACAGGCCAGAGCCTCCTCTTGGCCAGCTCTCCATGTTTGCGGCTGATGGCCCAACACATAACCCAAAATACCGGCCCCGCTGATTTCTTCGGAGACACTGTTTCATGCCTATCTTCTAGCTTCTGGTGATGGCTTCCTTGTGTTGTAGATCATTTTAGTCTCTGTTCCATTGTTACATTGGCACACACACTTTTTTTTTCTCCTGTTTTTAAACAACACTTCCATGTCTTGTTGAATGACTGCCCCTTGGTTTGTGTACCGCTTCTAAACCAATGTATACTGGAATTCTCATTCTTGCAATATTATCCATATCAGGTTCCACACAGTTCGATTACCATTGCATAATCAGTGAAACACAGGTACACTGTGTGTTCTCTGCTTTCAGAGAAAGCATCTTGTTCTATATCCTCTTTTGATTTAGCTTGAATTTCTGACAGTTCCGTGATAATGTACCGCTGTAACTATTTTTAGATGATCTTTATCATTATACTTGGGTGCGATATCAATGATACTGTTCAGTAATTTTTGCATCTTGTTAAAAAACCTGTCTTTAGACTGGTCTCTCTTGATGTCATGTCCAAAGTGTGTGAGACAAAGGTCTTGCCATCCTTGCCTCTTAGGAGCATTCTGGCTGTACTTATTCCAACACAGTTTTGTTGGTTCTTTTGGCAGTCATGGTGCTTTCAGTATTCTGTGCCAACACCATAGTTCAAATGTATCGAATTTTCTTCAATCTTTCTTATTCAGTGTCCAACTTTCACTTACATGTGAGACAGTCAAAAATACCAGGACTTGTCTCGGGCGTTCCTTAGCCCTCAAAGTAACATCCTTGCTTTTCCACACTTTAAGAGGTCTTGTACAACTGATTTATCTAAAGTAGCAATACTTCTTCTGATCTCATGACTGCTGCTTCCATGAGCATTAATTGTGGATCCAAGCAAGATGAAGTCCTTGACATCTTTGATGTTTTCTCCATTTATCATGAAGTAAACTATCGGTTCAGTTGTGATGATTTGGGGTTTCTTTACACTGAATTGTAATCCATTCTGAAGGCTACTGCACTCCTTGATCTTCCATCAAGTGCTTCAGATCCACCTTACAGCAAACAAGGTTGTGGTATCTGCATGTCTCAGGTTGTTCATAAGCCTTCCTCCAATCCTGATGCTACATTCTTCAATTTCTTTGATTATTTGCTCAGCATACAAATTGCGTAAGTATGGTGAGAGGATACAACCCTGATGGCTCACCCTTCCTGATTTTAAACCATGCAGTATTGCCTTGTTTTGTTAGCACAACTCCCTTTTATACAGGTTCTGCCTGAGCACAATGAAGGGTTCTGGAATTCCCATTCTTAAGGTTATCCTTTATTTGTTATGATCCACACAGTCGAATGCTTTGGCATAGTCAACAAAATCCAAGTGAACTTTCTGGTATTCTCTGCTATGAGCCCAAATCCCTCTGACAACAGCAATGCTATCCCTTATTCCATGGCCTCTTCTGAATCTGGCGTGAACCTCTGTAGCAGCTCCTTGTTAGTGTACTGATGCAACTATTGTTGGATTATCCAGCAAAATATTACTTGCACATGATATCAATGATTTTGTTTTATAATTTGAACTTTCTGTGAGTTGACCTTTCTTCAGAATGGGTGCAAATATG